TGGAAATTGTAGATCTCGTCGTCCTCTACAAGAAAGGTCTGATGCAATTTTCCCGTAGGTCCAACGGTTTGGAAGTTATTGGCCAAAAACGAAAATTTGGAAGAAATTGAAGGGGTATCCCTTGGAAAAATCTCGGAAAAATCGAAAATTTTTTTTGTTGTTTATTATTAGCATTGGTCTTCCGACATCTGATTTCTTTTTAAAAAATGCGTTTCTGAAGTGCATAAACTTTCAGGATTGACTGGATAGCCAATACATCCTTAAACAGGTGTCGAACTTTATTGTATTTTTAATGCATTTATTCTTCAGGCACTTGAAGAACTGAAAGCCGTATTCACAGCGGAATTCGCACACAAAACTTATATGTCTTTCTATAAGTGTATCGATAGCGAAGTGATGGAACAAATACTTAAGAATCATGAACATATACAGAATTTATGTCGCAAATACGAACAAGAAATAAGAATGAGTTCCAACGCTGGTATGTTGTATGCTGTATAATTTTTATCATATCGCATATATTCAAAAATTTATATACTTAAACTGTTTTGAAGATGATAACAAGTATAATGCAACAGAAAGTTCAGAAACATCAAATAAAGATGTGACCAATTTTGGAAACATATCAGTTGTGGGAAATAGATTTGCTGTACAAAAAGGTGATATTGGGAATCACGTCACTCTAGAAAGTGTAACATGTAATCGTGAAACGAATTCTTCTTCCTCGACTGGAAGGCAATTACGTGGTAATTGGCTAGCGTATTGGGAACACGAAATCGGAAGATCGGAGAAAGATACAGCGTTTAATATAAAACAAATAAAACTTCAAACGTTTAGTGGGCATACCAATAGCATCAGATGTATGTACGTATTAGATAATGAAAACAGTTTCATGAGCGGCGGAAGAGACAAAACAGTGAAATTATGGAGTTTAAGAAGTCAGGTAACGTTATCACGATAGAGTTACGTACATGCATTAATCATTTGCGCTTAAGCTACGTATTTTTCCAATAGGGCGATGGAAACACTGTTTCATCTTGTCAGTACACTTATACTGGACATAAGAAATCTATCCTCGCACTTACATTTCTAGAATCAATGAGATACGTAGTTACTTGTGACGGTACGATTCACTGTTGGGACCCGTTCATGGGTTCTCTTCTCGGATGTCCAGAGAGCTCAAGGCCAGTCCCCGTGAACACATTGGCTGCAAGTCCGCCACCTTGTACAACTCTACTTGTGGGTACAACTGATATTACATTGAGAGTCATCGATTGCAGAACGTTTCAATATGTAAATGAAATGAAAGTACGTTTTTGAATATTAAAGATAACATTGTGACATACTTTGTGATGAAACAATGATTTTCTTTTTTTCTTTAAGGTCTCCGTAAATCCAACAGGTTTAATCCGATGTATTGCGGTTGCACCTAGCGGTTATTGGGTAGCGTTAGGTCAAGCATCAGGTTTCTTAACAATTTTAGATATTCGTACCGGTCTTATTATTGCATCTTGGAAAGGTCACGAGTGCGAAGTACGTTGTATATGAAATATTCCTCATCGGGATATTCAACATGAAACTAATTAATCATCATTATTTCAGATACTGCAATTGGAAGCAATCAATGAAACAACGTTAATTAGTTCTTCGTTGGACGAGACCATAGCTGTGTGGAGCGCTTTAGATGGAAAATTGAAATTCCATATGAAGTGAGTGACTTTTATCGCGCAATGTGATTTAATTAAAATGTATCTAATAATTTCGAAAATTTCAGAGGCTCTACCGAACCAGTTCACTGCATGACGATGTACGAACAGGAATTAGTGATAGGAACAACGGCGAATCGAGTAGGAGTTTATACGTCCATAGAAACGACAGCCTCGTTTTCATCTTCGAAATTAAAATCCGATACTTTCAAAGGACTCCTTACTACCATGGCCGTTCTTCCTCTCAATCGATTATTATTATTGGGTGCAGATAACGGCGGTATAACATTAATTTGTTAGATATTACGTGTAGGTGTACGGAAAATTTTACATTATAAATATATAAATAAATATACAATTCCGTAATTTTCTATACAATCTATGTACAAGACTGAATAATGGATTCAGTCATAAGTATATGAAACAAGCAATGTCGTTTATGTATAAGAAATATCCGTTCTTGTTCCAATTACCTTTAAAGCAAGTTCAGAAGACATTTTATAAACACCAATGTCTGCTAATATTTCTTTCCCGGCTACTTCGTCGCTGTTATTGAGAGCTTCGACAAGTAGCATCGCTGAACCTAACATAATGTTTAATAATATGCAAGCCTCCTTAATCCTGGAATATTATTTGACCGGTTAAATTTTTAACAAATTTGAACATTTAAATCATAATCATTTGTTACTTACAAGGGAAAGTATGACTCCGGTTTATTAATATAGAGGCCAAATAACGGAAAGAAATTCCTGAAGATATCATATTGTAACTGTTCAGCTCCTCCTACGTTAAAATGATTCACTAGAACAACTTCTTCTAAAAGGTACTGGAACAAAAGTGGTGTTTATTTAAATCGATGATAAATATGATATTTGTTGGTGATGTAATTTAAAGAGTAAAGTAATATCTAACTTGATCAAGATTAGATGCCAAATTTTTCCAAGCTTCGTGAAACAGTGGTAAAGCCAAAGTCTTGTGAAGGAGATTGAGTTGCGTTGCTAATTCTTGAAACATAGAATAACCGCTCGGTGTAACAGATAAAGAAACCAACTCTTTAGTAGACTGCATTGCAAACCACCTGTAGAGAATATAATTATACACAATTTCAGATTAAAATTTCGATGAAAACTATGCAAAAGAATCTTACTTATCCGTTCTATAGGGCCTGCTTTTTGCTTTTACATCTAAGGCTACAGAATCACTGATTTCGCTGATCAATTCTTTTTCTATTCGTTTTAAAAGGGCAACAGCTTCGTCGAATACAGAACCTTCAACTTCACCTACATCTTTAATATCGTTTCCCTTTATCGTGGCAGTTTCCACTGCTTCAAATTGTTTTTTGAAAAAGTATAGTTGCAAGAAGTGCTGAAAGTAACATAATTAAATAATGCGTCTACGTTAGCATATACCTTCACTTTTTAAATTACTTACCACTGTTACACCCCACTCTTCTAAAACCGTCGCAACGTAGTGCAGTGTATTCAGAATGCGTGGCATAAGAGAAGTTAAAGGATCTCCATAGTTCTCGTGTAATAGCTGAATCAATCTTACTCTCCAATCGTCGATCAACTCTAGCTGTAGCTCAAGAAACTGTAATCTTTTGTTTTTTCACAAATCATTCCAAATAAGTGAATTAAGTCTTCTTTAGCTTATATTTGTAAGAGCATAGTTAAGACAGATTATCCTTAATTTACCTGTGACCTGGCTGAGGCAAATGTTTGTACCTATCAGAAATTGTTGTAAGGAGTGTCAAGAAGGCATCTGCGCATTCGGTTACTTTCATATCGTCAGCGTCAGAAGTTGATAATTTTTCCCAAGCTGTGTTAGAGTTTAAAATTGCATCCATCTTCTCAGTAGCATCTATTAATTTAAGATACGTTATTATCTAGATGTTACGATATAATATAAAGCATGTAGTAATCTGTAACAGTACATTTCTTCTCCATATTAATCCACTTTACAAAAATTTGAGCCTGTGTGAGTACAAAAACAGTAGCTGGTTGAGCTGGTGGGTAAAACAATGTCTCTCTTAATTCCCTTTCAAACCCTAGAGCCTCATCGACCAGGTGAGCAAATAAGACATCGTCGTATTGTACTACTGACAGTTCAGAATGAAGTTTTTCAACTGCCAATTGTACTAAAGCCCGCATAAATTCTGTCTATTGCAAGAAAACATACAACCAACATTATTTGTATATTACAATTTTCGAGTAACGACGTGAATAAATTAAACATACCTTCATATCCACGTGTTTAAAGTCTATTGAATTCGCTGCGGGTTGTACATTTTTCTGGACCCACTGAATATGGTCCTTTATCCAAGTTAATATTTGAGTAAAGAACCATTCCGGTTTGTCTTGTCGATTCGTTAATTTAGAACCGGTAAAGTGGTATATAAATCTTTGCCTAAGCGGTCGTACTAGCAACGAAATCGGCAAACAAACTGGGCTGAAGTCAGTTAGTAGTGCCGATGTAACAACAGGCTTCATAGATTCTTCTCTATATATATTAAATTAAAGGCAAAATATATTTTTTCTACAATAATTTTAACGTAAATATGATATACTTTCTACAAGGATACGGTAACTGTAAGTGTAATAAATATTCTGTAAGTATCTTAAACTTCACTACTGTCTCTGGCACAGGTGTATGTAATGCATTTACATTAGCGCCGCAGAAAGGCCATTTTAATGCTTTCAATATATCATTATATTCCCTGAAAATCATATACGTTTATTATACATAGACATGTTTGCTTGGTGTATACTTTAATTGAGAATGATAACGTACTTAGACAATTTATCTTTTATGAGATTGTGCCAGAAGTGAAGTGTTTCCTTCACATAATTCTGGAGATAATGACAAGTAGATGATCTTAATTCACAACTGATGTTCTTAAGATCTGTATATAATGAGATAGTTGATTCATCATCGCCGTTTGCTAAAGACGCTTGTATTCCATCACTGAAATCATAATCCTTTAAGATTGATAATGATTAAAGAATATAAATGATTAAATAACAGTTTACCTAATGTCTTCAACGTGTTTTATGAAATTTAGATATGACAGTGATTTATCTAAATAGCTGATAGTGTCTATGATCCTTTGTATTTCCAAGCTCTTATCACTTTCATGGACTGTCTCCTGTATTTCATTTCTAAATTCTTCAGAAGCTTTTTCTAGTTGCTGAAATTCAATGCTGATTTTTTCAACACTCTCTACGACTGCTTTCACCTTTGACGGAGCTTCAGTAGATGCCATCGACAGCTAACATTTTAAATAATTATATGTTACACATACGAAAGTAAAAGAACGTGTAAAATATTGTTGTTAAAAGTTTAATCTTGTTTAAATACGTACTGATTCCTCGATTTCATTTTTTTGCGCGTTAAGAGATTGGTGAAATTCGTATATCTTATCGAGTCCCTTTAAATCTTTTCCTAATTCCGTGTTGAATTTATGTATAATTGTCTCCTTTGTATCTTCCATGATATTTTATTTAAAATTTCTTTTGATACGTTCACTTGCATTACAAGTTTGACAGTTTCAGGCTAACTAATTGAATGACACGTGTAACGTGTAATATATAAACATGTTCTACCACACCGCCACACTGTTGTCATCATCATCTGATCATCATTCCTCCTCCGACCACTGTGATCCCTCCCCATCAGCGCCGGCTGCGAGCGACATTCGGCGCAGAGTTCATCGTAATTTCAATGTTTAATTATTTTTATATATAAATAATAAATCTACACGCAGGAATTATTTGTGTCGTATCGTCTAGAAGTAATGACAATGTCAAATACACAGTGAACTAACGCAGAAGAATGTTTCTCAAAACTGTTTTATAATTGATTATTAATTCTACTGGATTTAAATGACTTAAGTGTTTTATTCACTTAAGCGATACAAATGTTGTCTTTAATGCAAAAATAACAAAGGTCCTTTGTCTACATTAAGTTTACTTGACTTGTACGCGATCAAGCTTTTTGAAATAAATCATTTGTAATGAAAATTTAATCCACGTGACAATATCTCTTGCATAATACTTTTACTAGTGTAATCAGAACCAACGCCGAAAGAATCATAATATTCTTTAAACACAACCTGTTTGTAAACAGAAAGAATAAGTTTATTATTGTAGAATACGTAAAAAGAATGGTGTGTATGAAGAGCTTAGTTTTACCACTGTCGCGTACATTTGTGACAAATCTGGTATCGGTACGGCAAATGAGTGCTGTTGCCTCAGCAGATTCTGTAAAATCTTTATTTTACAAAGAATATGGCGAACCCGTGAATGTTTTGCACCTTACAAAGCAACCTGTTAGTCAACCAGAAAATAATCAAGTGAGTCGATTAAAAAAACGACTTTCCTTAACGCAATCTAATAACAATAATTATTTCCTCAGGTTTCTGTACGATGGTTGTTAGCACCTGTCAATCCTGCTGACATAAATACAATACAGGGTAAATATCCAAGCAAGCCACCTTTACCAGCCACACCGGGAAATGAAGGAGTAGGTGAAGTGGTAGCTATTGGATCTAATGTAAAAAACTTAAGTATTGGTGACCGAGTCATACCAAACGGTGTAAATTTAGGAACGTGGAGAACATTGGCAAATTATACTCCTGAAGAACTTATGAAGGTGTAGCATACATTCAAGTATTTTATATGGATACATCTTCATGGATCCGTTGCAATATGTGTTTAATCTATACTAAAATCTTAGATTCCAAAAGAGGTAGGAGCTGTAGAAGCAAGCATGTTGAATGTAAATCCATGTACTGCGTACAGGATGCTGAAAGATTTTGTGGCACTGAAACCTGGAGATACTGTCATCCAGAATGGAGGAAATTCATCAGTTGGGCAAATTGTTATACAATTGTGCAAGATATGGAATTATAAATCAGTTAGCGTCGTTAGAGATCGACCGAACATACAGGAACTGAAGGTACTAAAAGGAAGGACTGAATCTCGATCCTAATTGATAGTTAAAAATATTTGTAGGATCATTTAAAATCTTTGGGTGCAGATGAAATCCTCACCGAGGAAGATATAAGGAAGACCCAGATTTTTAAAAGTAAGAAGTTACCCTCGCCAAAGTTGGCTCTCAATTGTATATGTGGACAAAATGCCTTAGAAGTCCTGAGACATTTAGGACACGGTGGAATTATGGTAACATACGGTGGAATGTCGAGAGAACCTTTGACCGTTCCAACTTCTGCGCTTATCTTTAAGGTATACTAATTAATATTTGTACTGCACTGAGATAGGTTTGAGTCAATGGTAACAATTGTTGACAATTTGAATAGGATATATCTTTGAAAGGATTTTGGATGACTGCGTGGACAAAGGCAAATATGGATTCTTCGAAACGTCAAGATATGTTTAAAGAATTGGGCACATTATTTAAAGAGAAAAAATTGAGAGCTCCACCACACAAATTGGTTCCTTTCTGTCAGTATGAAGAAGCTGTTCTAAATGCACTTAGTTCCGATGGTAAAACTGGAGTTAAGTATATTCTAGACATGACTGGGTCCTAAAGAAAGTTTCGTGTTCGTTTCATTTTGATAATAAAAAATGCATTTTAATGTATTTAGTATTTGTTTTATGTACGAAAAATAATTAATACGTTTGTTATATTGTATTATAAGAAATATTAGTTTTACAATAATCTTTCGTATGGATTTCATTTTGTAGTGTGTCTTTAAATAAAATCTTAGCGCGAAATAATTGTATTTAATGTTTAACAATCGCAGATATATTGCATTTATATAAATAGTTAACTGTGTAAGAAAATTCATAGAAGAACGAGGTTTAAACGAAGTAGGTATTGTGAAATATAAAAAAATAGTTATTTGCATCATAATATAGCTATACGTTATTATAAAGGTACATAAGAAATTATATATTGTCAATTAAATAGAATTATTCCGTTTTATCCAAGAGATCTAACAGATTCACATTATGTTTTATATTATCGTGTTCGTCGTCAAAAAAGTCCGCGCGTATATTCTCTAGTCTGATCTTATAATCTTCGTTAAATTTCGGCTTCTCCTGTTTTGGAGTATTCTCCTTAGAATCAAATAGCTTTTCATTTGCATTTGCATTATCCTTATCTTCATTGGAAAGTAAATTTAAAGTGAAAGGCCGTTTGTAGGAAGTGTCCTCTGTTCCTAGCTGGATAGCTAGCATGCCAAGTTCGGCTTTTGTACCACAATCTTTAATGTGTGCATCTTTATCATGATCGGGCGTTGGCTTTAACGTGCCATATGACATTGAGTACCTGAACAATATTTTTAATCTACATTAATATTTGAATTTAGAAACAATTGCCAGTTCGTGACTCACGTACTCACATATTTTTACCAAGTATTGTACCTCGTTCCCCGAAAAGATCGAAGGATCCATTACAGTACGTCTTCGGATCTATGTCGTATAGTTTCTTGCCAGAAAAACGATCTTTATTTTCGTCGTACCTCTCGTTATACTTATGATACGTTGAATTAAAATTACCGTCTTCGTTTTGCAAACCAAGTCTAAGAAGTACGGACACCCTCACACAGTACGGTTCTAACTCCCTCAAGCAATCGTTCCTAGCATTCCATACTTCCTCGAACGTTAACATACCGTAAAACTGTTGAAACATCAGCAAACTCTTGGAAATTGAACGCAAATACATAATTCAATTCGTAGAATAAAAGAATGCCTACATCAGTTACCATCTGATGCACTAGTCCAACGCATTGTTGAGCGTTTGGATTGCTGACCATATCACGCATGGCATCTGTATGATTTAGAGTTAACAATACAACTTCTACGGGACCGGTAGCTGCAGTCAACTGATATTTAACCATCATAGTCATTAAGTCAAACAATTTATTCATACTATTTTTGTCGAGTTTCATTATCGAAGACAATACAACACATTCTAAGGTAGACCGTAAAACAGGTATCCCGGGCAAGGGCTTTCCTCCAAATACAGAAGACAATATTTTAGGATTAAGCAACGCCGCGCTCACATCGTCTAATACTAAACAGTGGAATAAGAACTCTTTTAAAATTAATAGTCAGAGGATACATGAGAAAAATACATATAATGTCAGATATTTGAAAAAGATTAAACACTTTGCTGGTAGACTAGCCTTGTGTAGTTTTATCAGTGCATATCCTTTGCGCTTTCAATCTTTGTCGCAAGACGTACAGCATTTCACCGCCCAAGTTTAAATAAAGTATTGGTGCTGCATATAACGACATTCTTTGCTTTTAATGTTCACTTCCAAATGGGATAAGTAATGTCACGATCTTAGGACTTACGACACGTATGTATGGTTTGATTCACCGATACCGTTGTCCTAGCGACAAAAGTGTACATACAATTAAGTGACGCTGATAACTTAGAACGAGACTGCGCGGCCCTCCGTACTTCATGACCATGGTCATCGGTTTTTATAAAACCTGATAAAACTAAGTACATATACTTAATAATATTTAAAAAAACAATACATAGTAGTCTTTAGATTCAATTTATTTTCCAAAACACATTAATATCATAACTGTAATAAGCTGTATTCATAACTGCACATATTAATCAGGAAGAATGTAACTAATAATGATAAGTAATTAGCATTCGATAAAACAAATTTTTAAGTAACAAGGTTAAATTTCTTATTTTCAGTCTGAAACATTTACGGCGCAAGTACGACATCCGGAATGAAAGACGCATCTGGCAACTTTTCCTTTTATTATGTACAAATTATCTAAAAACATTTGTTTGCGTTAAAAAGAAAAGTTGGATATTTATACCCTGAACAGATATTAGACAATTAATAATCATTCTCGTAACAATATTAAATAACAATCATATTAATTGTTCATAAAGTAATGCAACTGGACGGTTACATGTAACAGAAGATATTGTGTTCCGCATTTTTATAAAACATCTTAAATCTAACTTGAAAATTGGCTTCGTTAAGTAGAACGGTTTTAATTGTAAAAAGAATGCAGCGGTTGCTTCGTGTCGCTTTTCTCGTTCCAAAAAATATGCCATGGGTGTTTATCAGTCTAATATTAATCTATAACACGTACCGTTGAGCATACGTACGTATACGTCGCATAATATATTTTCTCGTTATATCATATTATTTTCACGTCGTTTTAAGTACAGTTCTGCTTACGATTCGTTTAATATCAATGGATTCATTATTGTATCTGTATAGAGCATTAGTCGCTAATGCACATGTAAGTTCGATGATAGAATTGATAAAAAAAAAGTTAACGATTAACATTTTTACATGGATTCTATGAGTATGAACATGTAGATGGACGTGTATAAAAGCATTTGTTAAGAAAAAGCAAGTCTATCGGTAATAGTAATATTTTAGAACAGATTAAAGATACTACTTAAAACTATGCAAGTAACTTGTACACGTATATACCTGCAATTATGTAACACTTGATTTCATAAATTATTGCACGTTGCGTGTTCCAATTTTTTACAATTATATCGAACATAAATAAAATATTTCGCCTAACTTAGTTTCTTTAGGAAGTATCTAATTCGGCATAAATTCATCTTTGATTATACGCTTTATGTACAAATTATAATTTTACTATTTCGTATTGCGTTATAATCTATAGAAAATAATTCAGTTGAAAATGAACAACAGTCCCATAACACATTTGCAACAAACTACTATAAAAAATTATATGAAATATATTTTTATCTAAGAAACATTGCCTTTAATGTACTGAGTCGTCAAAATCATCATTTTTGATTCTTGTATAATATATCGGTCATTCAAAGAATAAGTCGCGGAGCACATGACTGCATTAAAATTTCCTTCGTTCCTTATTACTTCTCCACGAGATATCACAATTGTTCCTAATTTAATAAATATATATATATATATATATATGTATTACATACATATATATACCGTCTTCTCAGAAACTGTTGAACTATTCCTTTGTAATCGCGTAATGATCATCGTAATAATGTTTACGAATTTTTCGAGAGCTGTTCCATGAGAAAATCTTTCCATTTCGAGTGAGTATTAATGTTATTTGCAATTACACTTACAAATTGTATGTCCAAGTACCTTTTGCCGATTGAATGTAACGAAGAGGGATCATCGAATTTCTAACATCAGGACTTTTCGATCTTCTCACACAATCTTGACTTAAAACCCTGCATCCTGGACTTAAAGTTAAACCATTGAAACTGCCACGGGGTATGCTGTCACTACTTGCCACTCTCCTAACATCATTAGGTTTCTTCTCCTCGCGATTATCGGCTACTGACATTAGATTATCCGGCACAGAGTCTCTTAGTTTATGCCCGCTCTGATTATTCCCAACATATTTTGAACCAGGATGGATAGAGACATTTTTTGGACTACGCATCAAACAATTTTCAGTAGATCCATTGCGACGAATTTGTCGTTTGTCAGCGTTATCGTACGTATGACGATCAGCATTGGAATTTGCATCGTTATCGACACATTGGCAAGTAATCACCGCACTGTCAAGAGAATCCGAAAATTCTGGACTTGGGATTGATGAACCGCTGATGTGAGAAAAAGTAACCGTCCCCTGAGCAGTTTGGGGACGGTGTCAGAAACATCATTCTTCCAATTCGTCCATTCGATTCCTAACAGCCATTTCGACCACTTCGAGGCTCGGATAGTCGAGCTCTTTAACTAAGCATAACACAGCTGATAATATATTTGAATTCTAAAATAAAAAATATATATTACATATCATCTTTTATTTTTCCCAATAAATTTAAGTAAAATGAAGCATCCAATATAATATTATGGAATACATACCCTTGTAACAGGCCGCCTATGATAATGAAATTGTGACCTACACTTTTCTTTCTCCGAATGTCTTACCCATCCTCCAGGTATTGGATTTGAATCTTCCTGGAATATCGAAAAAAAAATTTTATCATCTATTAACTAAACTCAAATTTAATAAAGAACTCATCCTCTCTACATTATGATGAACTGGCATTCGTCTAGGTTGAGACGATGGTTGATGATGTTCTTCATAATCCGATTTTATTCTATGATGCTCCTTGTAATCAGATCTCAACCTATTGTCATAATCATAATTGTTCCGTTCCGAACGCCTATCGTCCATACTTTCGTTCACAGAGTATTGTGTCCGCGGTGATGTTGATGCATATGTACGTTGTGATGTATCGTTGTTACTAAATTCTGCATAAGATCTTCTTTCATCGTAGTCCCCATTGTGTCTCGATATCGCAGGGCGCTCATCATATTCCTGAAAATAATCAGAGTATAAGAGCATTTTGCGACTCTGCTACATATTCAGATTTATATTTAATTTTGATTCCATTTAAGTAAATCATTGTTCTGTTAAAATTACGAACTAAACAGTTTCTTATAACTATTTTAATATATTTGAACCTAGGACTAAATAAGTGCGCTTCAAATCATGATAACACTAACTAGTAAATCGTAAGGAAATACGTAAAAATCCAACTAATGAACATAAATACTATCAAGACAAGACTATAAACAAATTATGCACTATACTGCACAGACGTTGTGCAATCTATGAAATGTACCTTAATCATTTCAATAGTATTAGAGGCCACGTTTTCACTGACGCTGCGTGAATCTGTGCGTGCAGTGTCATCTTTGTTTTGATTCTTTGTTTGTCCATTCTGTAGCTGTCAGTATACGATAGCAAATATAAGGAGGAATCATATATAATCATGCTTAAATATAAACTTAAATACTTTGTTTGGTAATATTACTAACAATACGAACGATAGAAAATTGTGAATCTTTAACACAAGACTTAAAAACGATTAAAAAACCATAGATTTAAACTGTTCAATCTTTTATTACAATTCGTCATACATGCAAAATGAACGTATAATTATATTTAATTTAATTACAG